CATGGTGAGAACATATAAACTCCACACAGATGGCTCTCCAGGTCTGGAATTGAATCCTGGGCCCAGTACTGCGAGGCAGTAATGCTAATCACTGCACCACCATGACAAAAAAGACATATAGGAAAAATGAATGTATATGTTATTTTACATATAAATTTGCTTGATTCTACCTCACTGTTGTTTGAAGGAATTGTACAATTATGTGTTCAAATGGAGAAGAGTGCTTAGAGAAATACTGCTCTATGATCTATTCATATGATTATGATGTGCTAAGCTTCATTTCTTTGTTCTTTTGTAGCCTGAAAGGCCCAAATTAACTGAATTCCAGTTAAAATCTCTTCTGGAGGATTGCATCCAGGCCCAGAAGAGGGCAGAAAGTATTGACCAGTTAGAAGACCTATGTGCGGGTTCTGTCTCAGCCATCTCAAGCACCAGCTCATCATCAAAGAGTAGTTCAAGACTCTCACTATCTACCCCCTCTCAGCTGCTGCAGAATGTTTACTCTTCCGAAACAAGCAAATACGGAGATTCAGAGAGTCCATAGTGCCATGAGGATGACTCATAACAGAGACAGATGATGGCTGAAAGGTTGTCTTGCAACATTGAAGATAAACACATACAACATATGGGTACACTTTTAATTTTTGTAATGTCAGATTGGAACATTAAGGTAATAGAAACGATTCATGCATTTATTTGCTGCCTTAAAACATGTTAGTGAATTGTTTGAAAGAGGTGAGGAAAGTATGTGACACATAAGATATACTTTTTTTTTACTTGAAAGTGTGAAATCCTTTTAAGGGGTGTTTTGGCCGGGGAATGTACTGTTTTAAAAGTACTTCCTTTACCTTATTAGATGGGTTTCAGATTAACTGATTTCTAAAAATGTAAAGGTAATTAAAAATAGTCTTTTATAGTTATACTGTTATACTATACTTTGATTTATTATTTAAATATTTGTCTTTTTTTAAGCAACTAGAATTTTAGATAGCAAGTATTTCTGTCCTTTGGAAAAGAGAAACAACAGAGAGACTGGAAGGCCAAGAGAGAAGGAGGTGATTTCTGACTGCTGTGCTAATGAGAGGTCATACATGATTGGTGTGCACAGCACAAAGAGATTAAACACACCCTTGTCATGGGCGGGAAACCTGCCTTATTATAGCACTGACACTGGCAATGGGCTGTCTGTAGAGGCAGACATTCCACACATACCAGCCTTAACAGGTGACCAGCCTCATACTCATAATGAAGTAATACTAGGTTGAAATGTTTTTTTTCTATCCTCAAGGCCTACTATTGTAGCATAATATTTAGCATTTATTGATTGGTTTACATTTGTTGCAAATGCATGTACGTTAATTTGAATTGGATTATTTGCAACATTAAAAAGTATAAAAAGATGTAAAGTAGATGGGTCAGTTGAAGGTATGTATCTTCTTGCTGAGGTGATATTAACTAGCATATTGTTATTATTATCTGTAAATTTATTTGCAGCGTTTACGCGTTTACAAGTGTATTGCTTTGCTTTTTTGCATAGTTATGGTTTCATTGCTATGACTTTTTCTCCACCCCCCCAAAAAAATCTACTTACAATATGGGTTATGGTTTTCAATGTCCTTGCTTACACATCAATAAGAAATTGTTACAACTATGCACACTGTATGTAAGAAAACTTTGTAAAACACAGGACATGGATTACAACTGACAATTGGCAAGATTTATACTACATTGCTTCAAAAAAACAGGTGAGCAGGGTAGAAGTCTAGTGGGCAAAGCCAAGAAACATAGTTTTGTGGTCTCCTGCTGGCAACAACTTTCTGTTGATTGCCAATTGTAGTAGGTGGTCTAAGGATCTTAAAATAGTTGGTATTCCCCCTGCACACCTTTGTATTTTTAGTTCTATCCAATAAGAGCTGCCCTACTTTTAATCTGTGAGTCAGCACACTGTAAAGTATACATATAAAGTTGTGTTATGTATTTCAGTACTTACAGTGGTCAAAAGGTAGCACATAAGCATGCAGACTATGTAACTGTCTGACTAGAGTTCCTCTTCAGCAATACATGGCACTTTTAAAAGTTTCAGTCTGTGACTGAATGAAAAAGCACATATTCAGAGAATGAAGACGCATTAAATAAATTTAAAGCACAATAAATAGTGAATTGCTCATTTTATCCCATCTGTCAAACTACTGCAATCTTTTGCTAATGTAACTGCGGTTCTTAATTTCATAGGAGAAAACAGTTTTATTATATGGCATTCAAATTACAACTGTTTATGCTGTAACCAGTTGTAGTTTCTACAGTTATACAGCAGTACAGTTGTAGCTAATCACCTGACTTCACCAATATATTTGAGTGAGATGAAAATCAAAACTCCCTGCTTGTTTAAATATAATCCCATTCAGCCATTTAAGCACACACATTAACTGTAAACTCAGAGCAACAACTGAAAAACTCTCTACTTTAATGCTTGTAGTCCAAAAGCTATAGGAAACATGCTGCTCTCCTACTGTGAAAAGAAATGTGCAAGTTATGGCAACTATGAAGTTCTTTGAAGACTCTTCTTTTTAATGACTAATGTATTTTTATGTTTTCATGTTTTTTGACTGCATTGGGAGCTATTGTGAACTTTTGCCACACTTTCCTGTTGATGTGGCTGAAGCATGTCTTGGATTAACAGCTTGGATTAATTTTATGGATGTGAGATTGCGTACTCATAAGAACATAAGAAAAGTTACAGATGAGAGGCCATTCAGCCCATCTAGCCTATTTGGTGGTTAGTAGTTAAACTACCTTCAAGAATTATGCTTGTGCCCAGAGCATAATACATGAACAGATGTGCTCCAAAAATATAATTGTCTCCTCAACAGAGGAAGCTCTTGCTGCCAATTCCCAAATAGGTTTATGGAATGTTTTCTTAAAAAATTGTCTTTACTAGTAAGTAGAAAGCAATGTAGTGTTTGTGCTGATGTAACAAATACAAAATGAGATGCAATGTTTTTCAAAATTCGGTTACACTAGTCTATCTCAATAGTGCTCCTTGCAGTAGCTTCAATTTGCAACATCTTGTTTTTATTTATCCACTAACACTCCTGAGTACACCCTACAGCTGCCTCATATTAGAACCAAATGTTCATCCAAAGACAAAGAAACAACCCCCCTGCAGTTTAAGACCTGAGAGGTAAAGAAGGTTGCAGTGATTTAAATTGCCCGAGTGTGTGTTCTCATGCATCCATAATAAACCATTTAATTGCTAATGTGGAATCTGTAAAAGAAAACCCTGAATGCTATACTCCTTTTTCACAAACCTACAGTATTCAGCAGTTGTTGTTTTTATCAAGAAAAACAGCATTGCAGTTGAGGAACTAAAGGATGAAAGCAGATTATGGGGAGTGGGGGCATTTCTTGTGACACAATTAGTCAGACAATGTGTAATGTGTATGTGCACAGCCCTATTTAATGAAAGTAAATTTAATTACTCTAATACCATATGTAATACCATATTGACCTATAGAACTTGTAGTTGGGGGGTAGGTTTTGTTTTGCTACTAGTCCATCATAATCTTGTGTGTTACACAACTTAGTAACATAATAGGTGTACAAAAATGTTTTGACATTAATAAATATATAGTGTATAAATCTAATTCTTTGCGGATGTCTCTTAACCTCAGATTGTTAGTTGAAGACAAGCTTAGTAGTTAGTGGTTAGTATATATATATATTAACTGTAAAAATAATTTTCTAAGTGGTTATTTCAGAAAACTAACTTGTAGACTGGACTTTAGTACTGAGATGACACACTCTGTATTGCACAGTAATACAAAACTCAGTTTCTCTGTTGCTGTTTTGTGTGTTTTCAGACAGGACAGGGATTGTAGCCTCCATGCTCTATTAAATCTTTGAAAAGCTTTGCTTCATTGAGGAGTTTTGCTTTAATTTTCTCTTTGTTCCTGCTAAATTATAGTAGCAGATGGTGTTCTCATCATTGGAGTCTAGCTAGTCAACATTGAAGTCAATCTGTCTTTGACATTATCATCCGGAATGCAATCATTGTTATCATCATGCTTTGCTGTCTTTGTCCAGTTCATCCCAATTGGCATTGTGAATGTAGAGACAACTCTTCAGATTGTTCCAATAGCTTTTTTTTTATCATTCTTGGTTGCTGCTGTCATTGTCTCCAAACAGTGTGATCCAGATGTAGTCTGTGAAAACAAAATTCCAAAGTTTTGGATTAAAAAAATTTAGTTTGAATTATTCTTAACACACATGAAGAGCATGAAAAGTGAATATTTTTAATTTAGGAACCAGTGATACAACTAACTTAATTTTTCATATACATTTTACAGATGTAAAACTGTGTGTTCAAAAGAGGAATATAAAACTGGGCTTCCCAAACTACATTTTCAATATTATCGGTGTCAAATTCAATTAATGATAATATTAAATTAATTAGGAACAGGAAGAGGTAGATTCCAGTCTGAAAAAATACAATGTTTTGGTTGGGGAACAATCTTCAGATGTGTAGGAAATTGAGCTGAAATATGAGGCAAAGAAATGGGTGAAGAGGACAAAAGAAAAAGAAAGTGAGAATGGCCATAGGAATTAAGAAATTGGGTCCAAAGAGACAGAAATCTAGGAATTTAATTATTGTGTAAGTATAAACGGCCACAATCTGTAAATGAATAGTCAGGGTTAGAAATGCATTTTTATTAACAGCTGAGGAAAGGTTTGAACCTAATTTCAGAGTAATTTTGTCTTCTGGTGTCATTTTGGAAAACAAAATGGAGAACTATTGCTGAGAGAATGTTTGATTCTCACTGCTCTGAAATGCTATCATAGTCAGCCAGTCTTCTTTCTGTTTTGCCAATGTAAATGTCAGGGTGCTGTTTGTAAGTGAAGCAGTAAACAAGATTGCTGGACAAAAATGAACCCCTCTGGGTGCTTGAAATGGCCAGAAGAGCCCTGTAGACTGTATGTGTGGATTTGTACTGTATTTGCAGGTGAGAAAATGGCTTCTGTCCCAATACAAAGTGCCTGGCTTTGTTGCCTGCTGTGGACGGTGAAGGGAACTGTGGACAAGAAGGCTGTGTAGATGAGATGGTCAGTATTATGGGATAATTGCGGGTCTGCAAAAAAAGTTCCAGTTTTAAGGTTATCGTGCAAAATAGAGAAGTTTTCTTTGATGGCCTTGGGGATAGAAATTACAATGTGGTTTTGGATGTAGGAATTCCTTGTAGAAATTCTAATTAAATTAATCAGGTCTTTCTAATGTTTTATCTCTATATAAACTGTGCTATGCTAAATATGTTCTGAGTGTTTTTGCGACAGTTTTGGGCTGTCCCATCTAATTGGAGAGCTGATTCACTTGAACTGCAAAATCAGATGCCTGGACAATCAGTCAAGTTACAGTAACTGCTCTGGTAAAACCTTAGAAATCCTTAAGAAGGCTGTCAGGGAAGTTTCATTTCAGTTAAGTTTTAGGTTTGTGTTTGTGACTTTGCAAGTGTTTGTTATTTTTGTGAATGAAGCAATGCATCAACACTGTTTTGAAGCTCTCTCTCAGCCCATACTGGCAGAAGTCTGTCAACTTTATGTGTATAATTTACACTTTTTGCTGTGTTAAGAATTGTCATATTCTTATCCTGCTGAGAACCTTTCCCATGCACTTTTGTCACATTTGTCATACTCAGACAGTTATCTGCCATTCCTTTGCATGGCTCTCTGCTTCCAGCAGAATTTTAAGTAATGCCCCTGTATCTGTAAATCTCCATGTCCTTGCAGCTGTCAGGACTAGACAGATATTCATCAGTAGACAGTAGACATGATGGGTACATTTTGCTCATTTTTTAGAGACTGAGTACCTGTGTTCCATAAGTACACATTCCTGATCTGGATTAAGTAACAGCACAGGTGTGCTCAGCAGGAACTGAATGCAGACAAGGTATGCGTGATCATATGAGTGTGTCCATGCTTTCTTAATTAGGGATTTTTTACAGTTTTTGTTCAGTTTTATGACTGAGTATTCCAATTTAAAACACTTCAAAAGCTACTTCAAAAAGTAGCTTTATTTTAGCAAGCACACAGCAGTGATATATTCAGTAGCAAGTGAATTTCAAACAGAATTTGGAAAGGCATTTCAATAATGTTTTGAAGGTGTTATAGAACTGTAAGAAAAAGTGCTTCATAATCACAGGTTACTTACATCATACCCTTTACAAGCTATAAAACAGGAATTTATTTTGAGTAAGCAATATTAAATAAATTAATTATTATTGATTTCTGTCTTGTAGTCTGCTAATCAATATTGTCTTGATAAATTAATTCAACTTGTGGTTCAATTGTTACTATGTACTTTTTAAATGCTGATAAATTTTCCATCTCCACAAGTCCATACAGGTATACAGTAGTGTGAGGAGGAATCCCTGAATATAATTTTTATCATGGATGGGTAGACAGATTTTTTTAATGTCTTACTATGTCATTTGCTACAATGCCACTTCATCATCACAAGCATCTCCTTTTCCACAGTTTGAAAGGTTGGTATCCTTACCCTACAAATGACATATGTTCATTGGAACCAGAAACGAAAAGGCAGGATTATCTTTCCTGAAGATGTCTGCAAAAAATTAAATTTAATTTATCTTAATTGTCATTGCATTGTAAGGTATAATGCAAATAATAGCTCTAATTGTTTATCAGCCTGGGTGAAAATTCAGGATATGCATTCTTTAAGTAATGTGGAATGTAAGAGAATTGGATACATTTCAATTATTCGATTTTTTTAAGTATTGGTCAAGCACCCAAATTCACCTGCTGCAATGCAGTCATTTTCAAAATGGTAAACACAGTTTTAAACACAATGTCACAAAACTTTCTTGTTTGGCCATTGATTAGGATCCTATCTGCAACTTCATCAATTTCCTGTATGTATCCCAGTTTGTTTTTACAGTGGGTCATGGGATTGATGACATTATCCAGGTAGTTTCAGGTCTTTTTATTACAGTATGACCCCCATCAATGAAAGGGTTTTGTGGTGTAATCACATAGAAAGAACATTTTGTATGCCAGTTCAAATATTGCTTATAAGCTTCTTTTTAGCCTTTCAACACTTGCTTATATTGGTTAATTAAACTGGTTAACTTGTTTCCTGATTATACAATGCATTTTCCTTGAAGTCATGGAATACAACTTATTCTACAACTGATTGGCGGTATACAGGTATATGCAGCATAGTGTGCTAAAATGTCTCAGTGTATACAGTATGTGGATTATAGTAAAATTTACAGCTATTTTTTACTTGTGGTCAATTGTGGTTACAGCCATGTCTTCTTTTAATCTCTGTACCCTACCTTTTAGAATGTACATTTGACATTCTTTTCGGATTGCTCTTGCTGTGCCATTCTCTGCACTTTCAGTAAGTGGCTGTAGTCTGGCTAAATTGGGTAAGCCAGTAATTCTAACCCAGTTATGATTTTTTTCCATCTTTTGGTTACCCTTGAAAGAGGTATCAAACAAGAGAAGGCAGATGAGATACAGTATATATATATATTATTTTTATAGCACTTAAATTAAATGTATTACTAAACAAACACCTAAAAAGGTCTTACTTTATCAATAACTTCACATTTGATTCTATCACCATGGTAACTTTCCAGGCAAAGACTCACTCATGAGCCATTAGTTTGATCTAAGAGAGTAAAGACTGGACAGGCACACATCTGGAAATGAAGACCTGAAAATAAATACTGTAAAATGTTATACCAGCACATAACTTGCATAAAATATGGTACAACAAACATTTCCCCTTACAAGAATAAAAAGATAATGTTCATTCCAGTTTTTATACTGTTGATAAAATACTGCTTCAACACACTAGAAAATCCATAGTGCCTACAAGACTGATATAAATAAAAAGTACGATACATAAATAACTCCAGAGAATGAGCCATCACTAGAAGCACTAATGTATTTCATGTGTTTTCTCAGTTCTAACCATAATGTCTTCACAGCTCAAGAGAATTAGGAACAAAAAGCAGCACTGTCAGAGATTCTTTGATTCACATTTTCCTGGGACATAAAGCATACAAGATTTACCACTGTTTCTACAAATCAAATCGGAAAAAAAATGGAAAATTTCAAAGTGAGACGTCCATATAAAAGAAATCAATGGATTTCAGGACTGAAGATCTTTAACACTTTTTTTTTTATAGACTCACTACGCCATCTCTTCCTATGAGATTTTTTATATTTCCCTCAGTTGTTTATATATGTATATAACTTTTAAGGATCAAACCACAATACCAAAAAAATGTGAAAAAGGCGATAAATAAAAATATCACTCCAATCACTACTTCTACATAAATGTTTGCATAGCAACACATACAAAGTTACAATTATCTACTGTATCTCGCCCATAATTCTATGCTTCTATTTAAAAGGTTAGTAAGGTGGCCATAACCCCAAAATTCCTAGTATGCTTTAAATGGGGGGGTTGAAAGTGGCTTGTAACAAATACAAATTAATGTGTAAATTAAGTGCTACAATTCTGTAAGAGGGCCGTAGGTTGAGACAAGATGGTGATTGTTGCCTTCACCACATTCACCACAGAACAATGGGGAATGACCTGCCATCCTCAATCACCTGACCAGCTGGAGAAATGCAATTGGGCAATCGGTCTTGTGACAGTTAAGGCTGTTAGGATGCTTCTAAGTTGGTTGTAAACATCTGCTGTCCAAGAGCAGGGCAGAGCTTCCAAGATGTATTGATCAGAGGGAAAACGGAGAGACTGATGGATAGGCATGTGTACTTTTAAAGGCTTTTTTTTAAGTTTTTGAAGTGTCTTGGATTTTTTTCTTTTGATTTAGCTGCCAGGCTACTGATAGAAAGAACAGTTAAAGCTTGGAAAAAAGCCGCTTTGCGGTTTTGGATATATTTCTTGCACTGCAAAATAACAGAGTGTTGTCTTTTCAACCTTACAGCTGAGTTTTGCATCTCTGTTTTCAAATACCAAAAAAGATCACTTCTGCTTCCCTGAGTATGCCACAATTGTTAAAATTAACGTCAACAAATTAGAAATGAACAATAACCATTTTTGAAATTTGGGTAGTCTTCTAAAATATGAATGGTGTGGGACAAAACCAAAATGTACAGTATGGCATACAGTAGTAAGGTTAAAACTCACATACTTTGTCATATGTAGTGTCTAAATTGGGGCCAGCTGGCTTTTGAAAATCTCAAGATGAATGGTTCCACATATTGTCCTCTTAAATTAAAGCGAAAGTTGCATTTTCCGGCATTCTTCAAAATAGCAAATGAAGGGCAAAGGCAGGGAAAATTAAAACAATAAACTAGACGTTTTCATGTCCTTAAATTCTGGACTGAATTCATATTTTAAATATTTTTTTAAATAATGCAAGTGGTGTCTTTTTTGCATATAGTAAATTATGTTTTATAAACTTAAGGTTTCTGAGAGGTTAAGAAAAGGGATAATAGCATTCTCTGTGTAAGGTACTGTAGTCAGCACCTTTCCCAAAAACTGGAACTCTGCTCAGTGCACAACATTGTTATGTACAGTATATATGATATGGTGTTTTAGATTTTAAATTTGTTTGAATTGTGCAGAGGGTTTCTGAACAAAAATGTCAAGTTACTATACCATATTACTATAATATTGTAATCTTTTAGTGTTATACACTATAATAAAGTCATCATCCTTCAGATTTTGGATGAATAAATAAGTTCTTCCTCAACAAAAACTAACTAGGCATTTGTAAGAGTCTAATTTTTGTCATCTTGGACAAGACAAAGGAGAAAGGAAAGACTGGCAGATTCCATTAGGCAAAAGCTGACTGTACAGTATATACAGTATAATACATATTGTATATGTGCATTAAGAGGGACAAATCAAATCGAAAAGCTACAAACTAGAACAAAAACTGCAGAGAGTTCAAATACTGTAGCTCAGAGAAAGGATCAGATGCGGGGAATGTCCGATTAGAAGGTCATTCGCCATAACCCTGTCAAGAAATGTGTGCGTGAAAGACGCACAAAGAATTAACTAAATTGATCATGGCAGCTAGCTGAGCGGATGTAGGGTAAAATAAAATGAGAGTGCTTGATCTGGAGGTCAGTTGTACGGCTGCAAACTTACAGTAGTGACATTCCTGGATAAGGGATAATCACCGCAAGCATCAGAAATGAGTGGCTTGGAGGCCAAATGGACACTCAGTGAATTAGCAGTGGTATCCTGCTGGATGTCGGCACAGAGAAACGGAATGCTTGGTGGGGCTTCGATGAATGAAAGTCAGTGGCCTACTCGAAAACTGGCAGGAGAAGTAAGAATGGGTTCTGGAGCCAACTGGCTGCCCATGAATTAATGGTAGGAATCAGATTCATCGGGTTCAGTCTGAATGAAGGCACTAGATGTTTATGCTAAAAACATGACTTTATTTTATCTACATTACTAGATGATGAAAATCCCAAAGCTGCAGTATTAGGTTTGCTAAAAGACATTTGCTGGGAACTGACTCACTAGCATTACCTTCATGTTGCAGTGTACCCGTGGAATTAACGTTGTACAACTTTTACATTTATATTTGTTAAATTGCTATCATGATGCAATGGGTATTGAGATGTTGCATTGTGTGCTATAGTAAAGGGTTTTATGTTGATGTGATACTAAAATTGATTTGACTCAAGACAGCACAGCTCAGACTATGGAATTTTGTCTTGAGTATTTTATAGAGTTGATATTGTCTTATACAGTAAATTAATGTGTTGCCCAGATATGTGTTCTCTAGACTTTGCTTTGCTGTTACAGATCTCTAGCAATGTTTTTTTCTTACTGTGTTCAGTTCTGTACCATTAAAACATCAAGGAAAATCGGAATAACTATGAATCCTGCATTATACTGTACATATCAACTGTGCTTTAGGGCATGACTTTTTAGTGATAACTACAGTATTGACAAGCTCTTTATGAAATTTATTTCTACAGAGCACTAAAATTGTTTAGTAAACTTAGAAGCTAAATTTTGAAATTCATTTGGAATTAACTTTGCAATTAAGCACACTTTGATAACGTTATTTAGATTGAATAGTGTGCCTGTGTTTTTGTCTATGTGTACAGTACATTCTTCATTATGTTCTCACAGATTACAATTTTCTTACATGTCCTTTTTGCCTTTTATGCTAGGGCACAAGGTCCGTCTTGTATAATGTTGAAAAGAACAATTCTTCCAACAGCTAGAAAATTACTTAATTACCGACTAAAAAGCTTGTGAAGTGCAGTTAAATGTCTGTACGCAGATTAAGCAAAGGTGTAACAAAACGTAACATCCAAGTTGTGCAAAGAGAGGCATTTTCAGAAATATTACTTTTTCCTGAACTCTGTTTATTGTTCCATTGTATGTTACAAAATAAATGATATGAGTAAAAACAGCATGTTTCTGTATTGTAAAACTGGTAAAAATGTTTACAGACAAGCATCTCTAATAGTAAAAACAAAAGAAAAAAAAAACAGAACAAAACATCCTCACATCAGTGTGCAAACAGTTTATACAGACAGAAACACTCACTCTGGGTCATGTTTCCTGATAAATTATTTTAAATAGCATATATCTACACAATTATGAAATTACCTGTTACAAATAGCATAGAGAAACTGAACAATAATTTATTCATTAAAAAAAGCTTTGGACAAACACAAAGCACAACATTTATAAAACAGTCTCCCATTCCATTTCTTAATGCTTGGGGAAAGGGGTATATTTATCTGCAAAAATATGTTTTTATACTATGTACAGCATTTGTTTTACTACAGTAGCGTTAAAAGAAGTTAACCAAATTGTTTTCTGTTGCTATATCCAAACTGTGTTTTGTTTTCATTATAAAACAATAATGAGGTAATAATTGTACATCAAAGTTTTCCTTTGTTATTTTTTCAAACCTTAATAAAAAAAGAACAGGCACACTGGTCAAACATACCGTGCAGAAGAACACTGCCTCTAGATGCACTGAATAGGTTGCTGTTTTGAAAAGGTGGGTTGGGGAAGATTTGACAGGAGAAAGCTACAGATCTTGCATGCTAACAGAACCTGTAACATACAGGGCTGAAGACATTGACCCTGGTTTCCAGTTTTTTTACAAAGGTAATGGGGAATTAAGAAAAAAAGAAAAGTCAACTTAAATGTTAGAGCATCATTACAGAGCAAAGTTAATAAATAATGACTTTTATTTACAATCTTATATACTGTCATCTTATCTAGACTACAAATCAATCTGTATGGATAGTCCAGCACATCTGTTCCACTCCTAAAGCAGTCCTTCTTCATAAAGACAAGTAAACACACAGCAATAAATAACTAAATCTTTTTGTATACTTGTTGTTCCATTACTGGCTTTTCCACACAGGTTCCCCAATTGTTCTATTATCAGTATTGTTTTTTTTTAAAGCCTCATTAGTTTTGATATTTCCTGTCATTCTTTGCTATATTTCACCATGATGTTCTGCAGAGGTAGGCAACCTTTGTGCTGATGTACACCCCTCCCCAGTCCAGAAATGTGCTTGAAAACCAGTCACTTTGAAATTCAGATTTGAAGAAAAAAAAAACATTGTTTGACACAAAAGCAGTACATTTGCTTGAAAAGGTATTGCTCATTTAAATTGTATGCATTTTGTGCAGTTGATACAAAAATGCTGGACTGGCGGACATTCTCTTAGACTCATGGTTCTGCCCTATGCCTGGCTTGCAGTCTCCTCCATTTTAATCCGATATGCCATGTTTAGTTGCTGTTAACAGAGGCTGATAGGGAGAACAAGTCTCACCCTGAGAATACTAGGTTCACTGAACTGAAGTAGTTACATCACCAGCCATAGTACCACTGCTGTGTTCACTAATAACTGTGTTTAGGCTGTATAATGCCCATTACTCAATATGATCCATTTGGCTGAATTTGCCAAGAATATTTGTTATTTATTTCTGTAAGGGATTCTTCAAAAAGGGGGACGCTCTGAAGGAGATGTGTATGGGGAGCAGAAAACCAGTGCTCCTTAGCTTCACAATTATATACGTATTTTATATATATAAATGGGAAGCAAGCTGGCTCTTTTGAGAAAATATATACACACACTCAGACACGCATACGTTTCAATAGTAACAGTCCCTCGGTGTTTTGTTCATCAACAATCAAGTCCAAGGGTCTCTGACCCTTTTAATCGTAAGAGGAAAAGTCTTATTGCCTTCTTCATCCCTGGAACAAATTTGTCCTTTTAAAAAAAAATTTAGTCCACAGCAGATCTGAGGTTGATCTTTTTTTAATAAAAAGGAAATACTCAGTCTTTCCGTGGGACCTCCATCTGGAAAAAGATATGCAGACGGGTTCTGAAGTGCATAGTCAACGGCTGGAAGATCTTCCCTCGCAGGGCGAAGAGCTTCGGAGAGCCATCTCTTGACCGAGTAAAGCAAGGGTGTGTCTGCTCTACCTGCTTTGGTGGAGGGGTCAAATGCTCATCTGGCAGTCAGCTGGTTTTTCTCCCAACGTCAATTTACCATGAAGCTGATCGCATGCTCTAGTTCCACCAATGTGCACGTTTCAGAGGGAAGCATAATGAAAACAATGGTCCCAGGATGTTGTTTAAAATATATATTCATATTTATACAGAAAGGTGCAAAATCCAAAAAAGACTCTCTTCTCTGCAATTATGTATCTAAAAAGGGAAAGAAGCAAAATTAACTTTTAGGTTAAAAAATAACCATAAATACTTCCGTTCTGTGCCACTCCAATTAGGAGGTATACATCTAGCAGCACTGCTTCAAATTAAATGGTGTAAAAAGTTCTAAATGTTAATAAAGACTGCTATTATTAAAGATATAAAAAAGTAAAGATGATTAAGGACCTTACCTCTGCATTCATATTTGAGGTCGGAGAAGTATACCATTTCTTGAGAAAATACGAACAGACCTAGCCTTCCACCTGCATAAGTCTTGTCATAGATGCTTCCAGAGTCTGCCATGATTTTCTTGCCTTCATACATGACAACCCTAAAGTGGAGAAGGAAAGAGTTGTGAGATTAACTTGTTTGCTTAACTGATAGGAATGTTTTTTTTTTCCAACTTTATTACATAAATAACTAAAAAACCTGGAAGAAATACTTAGCATACCGACATAACTGAACCACAAAGTGTTTCTCAAATAGGCTTACCTAATGTGGCCAGTCTTTGGTCTGTGGGTAAGATGCCATCTGTAAGCAGTGAAGTCTTTCCAGCCAATATTTTTAGGGTCGTGCCACAGAGTGCGCACCTAAGAGGGAAAGGACACAACCATGCAAAGTTACTTTCAGTACTGTTCTTGGAATATCCTCCAATTAAAAAACAACACAATATTTACAGCTTCATAATCTGTTATTAACATAATATTTAATTATGAGAGGTCATTTGAAGTGAACAATTATAGGAGCTATAGTATATCATCACATTTAGCCAAGGTAATGTATGTACCTGTCCGAGAGTATCTCCAGTGTGCCAAAGGGCATTTCGCAGATGTTCTCCAGGTCCAGTGGTAGAATTGACAACTTTGATGGACAGTCCTGAGTATCCCTGGGCTTTTGTGGGAGTATGAGACCAGTAGGTCTGTGTGATCTGTTTCCACATCACCACGTAGAAGCGAGAGCTTGACTGGTATCCAAACACAAACCCAGCATAGTCATCATCACGGTCGGTGTTGATGAAGAAGGTGCCACTGAAATCCACTGCGTTGAATTCATCAAAACCTGAGAAGTAAGGAGTTAAAAGGTAAGTTTTACAATGACTTGTATTTTCATTGCCATAATACTTCCATTATGTATCACCTATAGTACAGTAAAGTTTCTGTAAACATACCAACAGCAATGCCAGGATCGCAGTTGACGGTCTGCACGAGCTCTTTGCCCTGGTGGCGCACCACCCAGTTAGGGTCAATCTGTGAAGTTCCCTTGGGGTCCAGGGGCACCATTTGGAATTTACGGAAGTCCGTCTCGGTGATTGCAAAGTTCTCAGGACAGACATCGTAGATGTCAGGTACGTTGTCTTGATCAAAGTCGTCTTTGCAAGCATCACCTCGTCCATCACCTGAAACAGATAAAAAATGCAAATACTTTAATGACAGATACTGTTTGTGTATGACAGATATATGTATGTGCTTATTAAGAGTGTGAACTAGTTATGTTTATTGAGGTTTAGACTGAAGACCTTAAATGACTTATTGCCTTGAATGTCTCACTACAAACAACAAAGCATAGTTGCGAGTTTCATTTAAGAAAAATACAGAGAGCTGTTTCTAGAAGAACTGTTGGGACAGATATATACAGTGTTAGAGAGAAAGTATTAAGCCCGGAGTTCTTACCATCAGAGTCTTTCTGGTCAGGATTGAAAGCCAGTCTGCAGTTGTCCTTGTCATCGGGAATGCCATCATTGTCATCATCATGGTCACAGGCATCACCTTTGCCATCTTTGTCATGATCAGCTTGGTTGGCATTGGGAATGTAGGGACAGTTGTCCAGGTTGTTCTGGTGGCCATCTTCATCTATGTCCTGGTTGCTATCGCATTTGTCTCCTACCCGATCAGAGTCAGCATCAAGCTGTGAAATAAACCAGAGAGTTACTTTTCATTTTACCCCACTTGCTTGTCTGCATTAAGTAATTCACATGTATATGTATTCACATGTGTTTTGTAAAATAAGTTAAGAAAGAGTTTTGAACAGGTAACACTATGTAGCTGTAAAAATACATGTTTATCACACTGTCTTTTTTTGCACCTAATGGGTCTTGGAGCTTTTCAACAGCATCTATAATCTTTGTCTGTTTTATCGTGCCAAGCCAGGCTTTTTCAATCCAGCTGCATATTTCATACTGTTGAAAATCATCTCTGCATTGCAAGGTGCTTCTAACAGGCATTCGAGTAATGACCCTCAGGCTATTAATCTCCAAGTCCTTACAGTTGGCAGGACTATACAGATAATAATTACACAGAAGGGTGGGGTACATTTTGCTCATTTTTCCCTGAGACCAAGTACCCATGTTCCACAAAATGTACACATTCCTGTCCTGGATTAGGTAACAGCACAGGTGTGCTCAGAAATAACTGAGTGAAGACAGGGTATGCATGACCATACAAGTGTGCCCACATTTAAATTAGGAGTGTATGAAAGATGGTTTTCTTTTTCATTTTATAACTGAATACCCCATTAATAAGACTGCATGCCTTATATCTCTTCTCCTGCAGTCAACACTACATCACTTCATACTTTTTTGGTAAAAAGTTATGCTACAGTTTATTAATTTAAATGTAATTAAATTTAGTATAGAAATCAGTTTTTTGCTTATTATGCATTACTGTTGCAAAAAGATCCCACATATGTAGAGTACACATTTGCTATTGTACTTTTTATTTTTTCTACATCTGATTTTCCATGTTTCTCAAACTGCCTGGGAGATTTAAAACAGAATAGAAAAAATTACCTGGTCTGGATTGTGTTCCAGAGGGCAGTTATCACACTGATCTCCAACGCCATCTAAGTCTGTGTCTCTCTGGTCCACATTGTACACATAGGGACAGTTATCCTTCTCATTCAGAATACCTGTAAAATAATCATGATTGTGGTCAGATTAATAGTTACAGGGTACAAAGAAAAACAGAAAATTGTCCTTTCAGATATAGCTAAATTCATTGTCTTGATCGGAGAAACTGGGGTATGGTTGCTATCCAAGAATGGTTTCTTACCATCACCATCGATGTCCACAGCACAAGCATCACCCTCTCCATTGTTGTCGGTGTCAATTTGATCAGGGTTGCTGTTGTATGGGCAGTTGTCACAGCGGTCTCCCACATCATCACGATCATAGTCATACTGCCTCGGGTTATAGATGAACTGGCAATTGTCCTGTTTTCAAGAAAGCATTTAGAATTTTTTAGTTTTGTTTCAAAGTCCTCTCTTGCTAAGCCCCTGGGAGTACTGCTGACTATCAAGTACATTTTTAAACATTAAGCTAATAATTAACAAGATAAAAGAAGCCAGTCTTTAAAAGGAATGTTTTGAAGCCAGAATAACCAAATTAAAGGAAAAGGACAACCATATTTTTAGTACCTCTATAAAACTTTCTACCGTGTTAAATGGATCATTGGCTCTGGGCTTCAAGTGTACCTCTGTGCTGGAATGTGAGGCATGACTGAGGAAGCTAGTGTTTGCTTGCTGAAACATTTTTCCCCCTGCTTTTTTCATTCCTCTTTGCACGAATCCTGAATGTACAGACTTTGGGCTCTTGGCTTACTTCTCAAAACAAAGCTTGATCATTAAACTTTTTGGGCCGACTCTACTGCTTCCTGCTGCTGAATTGTGGTGCCAAGCATTCATTTAGGTTGTCTGTAGGGGGCTAGATTCTCAGTGGCCACCAAGTTACAGGAGAAACATTTCTTCTGGTTCATGTCTTACCCTGTCATCTGGAATGCCATCATTATCATCATCACTGTCACAGGCATCCCCTGTTCCATCCTTATCATAATCTTCCTGTCCGGAGTTGGGAAGGTTGGGACAGTTGTCCTGCAAATGACACATGGACATTTTTAAAAGGTGAGCTGAGACGTTAAAACAACTTAATACAGATTTTAGACATCTGCAGTCTGAAGTAAAATGAGCTTTCAATAAAAAAAACACAGGCAAGTCTATCCTGCTCTCAGAGCATTGTGAAATGAATGATTTACCTTCTTGCAGTGGTAGGTGGCATTTTCCACACAGACAAGGTCCTCATTGGGCCAGCCATCAAGGTCAGTGTCCTCCCCACAAATGTATCCATTGCCAGCGTACCCTGGCTTGCATTCACAGCGGAACATGGGGTCTGTGAAGTGCCCCAGGTAAATGCAGCGGGCGTTTTTGTTGCAGTCGTGGCTTCCATCAGCGCAAGGGTTTCGGGGTGTGCACACCTAGGAAGGACAATTTCATGTCAGTTCTCGCACTTTCTCCTTTTAAGCACTTGCTCTCTTAACCGCATATGCTGATTACTTTATTTTATGATAAGCTACAGAAGTTTCCTTTAGATCATGAAATAGGACACTTGTCTGCTGGTCAGCAAACATCTGATCAATTTCATTTTCATGGTGTAGGTGAGAATTCTAGCTTTTTTGGCATTAAACCTCTTCCTGCTTAATGGCAACAGACGCACAATGTTTTTAGGGTATTCCTCACCTGCTTTTTCGCCGTGGCATCCTCCACACCTCTACCATATGGCTGTAGGCCAGTGAAACGAGGTGGGCAGGGCAGACAGTTGTATCCTGGCTCTGTGTTTTCACATCTGTGGACGCCGTTAAACTCGAAACAGGCATCAGGAACCTCCTTACACTAAAAAGAGGTAGAGGAGAAATTTGTTTTATGGTACGGAGGCGAGATTCATTGCTAGTCAAACAGACAGAAAAGGGTCCTGAAGCTTACTTCATCTACATCTTCACAGTTGACTCCATCACCATGGTAACCTGTTGGGCAAGGCCCACACTTCCAGGAGCCGTCAGGAAAGCTTGTGCACTTTGATCCAGCAAAGCAGGGATTGGATAGACACCCATCTAAAAACAAGACATGCACACACATGAGTATAGAACAATATTCTAGCCGCAGGAACATCTGTAAAACCTCAAATATAAGTGAGAGACTTGTTTCATGCCATTCCATTTTTAAAGAACAACATGGAGGAAATATTTCTAAGACAGCAATATTACATTTTTGTAACACTATGTATGGAATTTGAATTACTATTCAAATTCGCAAAAAGCACTAATTATTGTTTTGTTTGATGTAGGAACACCACCGCCCCTCACCTTAACTGAAAAAAGTTGCTATTTTGAAACCTGAAACAAATACTGTATTGACTGGGGAGCTTCCGAATCTGTTGGGCGGTAGTAACGTATTCGTTTTCTCCAGATTTACTCACCAATGGGACAGTCCTGCTTGTTGCAGAGCTGAGTTTCCCCAGCCTCACCAATGCAGTCCTTGCCACCATATGTAGGCGCAGGATCATTGCAGAGTCGCTTGCGAGTCTGAACACCTCCTCCACAGGTCACAGTGCAGGTGTCCCAGAGAGACCATGGTCCCCAGTTTCCATTGACTAAAAAAAAGAGCAAAAGTACATAAAGACTGATCAGAATAGCAAATTTAACAATACACTGGGATCCATTTCCTTTTCATTTAATTGGTAATGTGCTCGAAAGAGGTAGATTCTTTCAGGTTGCTGCCTAGTAAGATAAAAAGATAAAAGACCTATGTTCCCAGTTATGTAACAGCATTCCTGAGGTATTTGGTTTCCATATTATTGCTGTGGTCTCAAAAGGGAAGGCAAGGATTATAGTGTGGAATCGCAACAGTGTGGCCTTTTGTCACATTTAGGCATGGGAGTGTATTTATTTCTGACGACTACGTACTCGGACAAGGGGATTGCTTGCACTCCTTTGTCTGCCGGCCCTCTCCCATGCAGTCCTTGCCACCCATCTGAGGAGTCGGGGAATTGCACAGACGAATGCGCGTAATCACTCCAGTGCCACAGGTAACGGAGCAGGAAGACCAAGGAGACCAGTGACTCCAGCTTCCATCTTGCTTGACTGTAGGGGGAGGGAAAGCAAACATGTTCAACTACTGTTGCAACTGCACATTTCGGTCTGAAAAAGTGGGAGGAAAACAGATTTTGGAAGTCATCAGAGTATAACTCACATCGCTTGTCACATTCCTGAAGGTAGCAGTCCCGTGTCTGCACAGACGTGCCCTCGCAGAAGTTGTTGATACGATCGCAGGAGCGGCCACGCTGCTGAATCCCTCTTCCACAGGACACAGAACAATGAGTCCATTCAGACCAGGGAGACCAGCCATCCTCTGCAGAGTCGCTTGCTGGAAAGACAATGGAGAGCTCTTTCTATTTTCTTTTAGGATCTGAGAAGTGTTAGTATTTCCTTGAGTCACGATTGATATGGAAATCTAAGTAGATCAGTGCTCTATTACATCAAGAGTAATTACCATACAAGGCTTCAAATGACATATCACCAGTAGTCCTCACAAAGTATCACATTTTAGCAGTAGCTTTTCATGTATGTGGTGTATATGTATATAGATTTTCTGGGAAATGCAAAATCGGAGTGTACAGTATGTACATCAATTTAACATCAACCCAGTTTCATGTAAACAAACATACTCTTGAACATTTTCATTGCACTTTTCCTAGGGTGAAAACTAGACTCAAATGTCAAATTACTCTCCTCCCCCCCAATTTAAGCCAAGTACTGTCACAGTGTTTCAGAGATCTGAATTCACCAAATACAATTCACCAAAAAATTGTAAGTTAAAAATAATGTATTTCTGGTACTGGAATCTAATTTTCTCAGGGGTCATATTTTTCTAAGCATTAAGCAGACTGTACTTTTAGGGAACAAGTAATAGGTTTATTCCATGCTGAAAAGAGAAGAAAGAAAACACAACGTTTCGTCCGTGGAGCCTTCTTCAGGTGTACTTTTGGGTTTGAAAATGTTGTTCCCCTGTCTGGTCTTTCTTTGTCTGCCCTCCAATAATTAATTTAAACATATCTGAAGAAACACTAGATCTAACACTGGGGTTCAGACAATGAGACAAAGCACTGATGTTTGGAAAACAGGTAACAGTAAGGTTTAATATTAAAGTCTATTGATTTGTGAAGCATGCATAGTCAACAAAATCAGACATTAGCAACCGATCTAGCTTATTTATAAAACACTGAATTCTACTTACGTGTGCCACATCTTGGGCAGCATTCTCCATCAGGAACAGTAGCGTTAGCGCAGGGCATCAGGGGGCAGGAGATCTTGCGACACACTGTGGCAGAATTCTGCACAAAAAGAATGTTGGAATCAACCAAATTTGTTGAGGCTAAACTCTGGTGAGCAGAGGAGTGAACTCAATTGTTTACTTATGAAACAAACTTGCTCTATCAAAGCTAATTGCAGTGTTGTGAACAAAGAAGTGATCTTTGGCTTGAATCTGTGACTCCCGCTGAGCTACGGCTTTGCTTAGTGCACCTGCTGGAGGTCATACCAAACTGCACAGAAAAGGAAGCTGAAAGCACAGTGCTGGGGAATTTACTGACAGGGGTGAACCCCAATGACATTTATGAGGGCTTTATCCACTTAGAACTCTGCCAACACACTGCAGACCTTTAACTTTTTGGAGACTTTAAGCTGCAGGCTGGTGCTGTAAACTCTTTATAATTAAATAGCTGATTCTTCAAAATACTGAGAGACTGCCAAGTTAGGTAACACAGTAGGCAGTGAGGCATGGCAAACAGATTATAACAAAAAACACATCTGTACGTAACATTATTTGTAAAATCTGGATTGAATCTCGACCTACAAGCTACAAAGTACAGCTTGTATTTGCTTAACCAACTTGTTTTTTGTCTGTTCAATGCTCATTTGCATAATTGAAAGACATGGCTGCTGAAGGGGTCTGCAAATAATAGCTGTCACATTATTTTCAAACAAATCATAAAAAACATTTAATAATGGTGCTAGTTATGGGAATTCTGCCATCAGCCTGTCATACCCATTACTCGCTACATTACAAAGCCTCTACTGTCTGTTTGAATTAGCTTCATTTGAATTTACCTGGCAAGTGCATTCAGTACAACCATCAACAGTCCATTCATCCTTATTGTTGTAGACTATGCCATTGTGGAGACACACACCATGCTTGATTTTAATTTGGTTTCTGATAAGTTCATTCTCTTCATGCTGAAAGAAAACAGAGCCCATGTTAAAAAGTATTTATTTATCAGTATGAGTTTCAGATTTAAAACTGATTAGTTACGACTTCTGTGCACAAAGTCAAGGTTTTGCATCCTACATGTCCCATCTGAGTATTGGTGAATGGCACATCTAAACGCGAAATTACGTACTCAAGAATGCAAAGTAAAACTTACAACAACAAATCAACACAAAATAAGAACTTAGCTAGAACAAGCAAAGCCTTCTTATTCCGGAAACACCTGGTGCAGAACATTTTGAATTGGATTACATGTATTGAAACTGCAGAGGTGCTGGACTCTTACCAGTTTGTGGAGATTTTCTGACAATTGGTGAACATAGACACTGAGTCCTTTAAGTTCCTTAAACATGTTGGCAAGATCTTCACAAGAGAACCCACACACAGACTGTATATCTGCTGGGACAAAATCATAAAAAAAAGGTGTACAGTGAATCCACAGAGTCATACTGTGTATATACCTGTGTGTACTCTGCATAGTGTAGGAACAGCCACAGGAAAATAGATGCATTTTCAATTTTTGTTACATTAGTTTTATAAAACAGTAAAATACAAACATAATAAATATCCTCTTGTCATATTTTAAAAAGTAGAGATAACAAAACTATTAGGAAATCCATTAATGTTTATCTGCATCTATTTCGTGTTTAAATGAAGTTACCTTTTGTTTTGTGTCCAATGTAGTCAGTCCTGATGGCTGGGCTAGATCCATTGACGGGGTTGTCCAAAATTATAGTATCCGTTAAAGGTGCTAAAAAAGGAAACAAAAAAGTTTTAGAGAAGCTACGTGATAAAGACGTACAGTATGCAGTTTGAGTTCCTCGTAGTGGTCTACTTTTCAAAGGCAGCGTTGTTAAAAGTTTGGCTTGTCCTAAGTTTTCATGAGAACCTAAAGCAGAAAGTGCCTCGTATGTCTAATTTGCAGTTTTGAACTAGTTCCTAAGGGGGGTTGTAGGTACGATCTGGAGACAGTAGTACGATTTTGGTGGTTTAGAAAAGCATTAAAATATTCATAAACAAGAAATCTTTTTTATCTGGTGGCGTTTGTCAGCTTCGTTAAACAGTATATCGTAATTAGTCTATTTTGCTTCTTATATACGCACGTCTGGCTGTGTTATTACTCCTGCACAGTTCCAGACAAATAGTTTCCATCTCTGCCTGGCAGCTACAGTACTATTTGCTGGTAGTTAGCTCGGAAAATTGAAATGCCAGCATGAAATTTGATTTGTGCCTTACAAAGGTAATCGAGAATGTTGCTTGAATGAGACAATTAAACCCTAGATAAAAAGCACACTTACATCTGGAACATCCTTTATTCCTCAAAATCGCATCCAGAGTAGTTCCAAAAACAAAGCGTATATTCTGCAGCACACCCTGTGGAAATGACAAAGATCAGTTTACTACTTCGTATCATTAATTACTTAAGAAACGACGTCCTTTTGCCCCGAAAACATCCAGAATATTTAGAACTCCTGTTTTACCCCAGGCTAATTCGTTTGTTTAGATTCTACTTTCTGTAAACTGGAAAAAACGGTATGGTTAATAACCTCTTTTGGAATGAATCACTTTCAAGGGTACACAGAATATTCGTCTTCTGTAACCACTTGTATCTTACCATGAACCTGTCCTTCACCGCTCCTTTGCCGATCCTCAGGCGGGCAATGCTGGGTACGTCCTGAGTCAGGATTCTTTGAATGGACACGTCCAGTTCAGAGCTGTTGATTTCTTCGCAGCCCACGAAAAGTTGAGCCCGATCTTCCTGCACGAACAGTGTGATGTTCTTCCAGTGGCCCGTCGCCAGGTCCGCGTCTTCAATGGACACCACCTGCTGCTTGTTCTCCGTTGAGAAAACCAGGTCCAGCGTGTTAGCCTTCCCGTTAGAAATGATCTCAAAAATGGGTCCGGAGCCATCAATTTTCTCGACCGTCAGCAGACTGCCCCTGGTCCGCTTGAATTGTTTGAAGTTAACCAAGAGAAGAAAGCCCTTTTCGGTGTGAATGGCATCTATTAGGTCCCTGAAGGGGGTCTCGGGAACCGGGGGAATCAGGTCAGCGTCTAAAATCTTGTAAGCAGGGCTGTAAGGATCTGCGCCCTTCACGAGAGTCACCCCATTGTTTTTCTTGTGTACTCGCACCTTCTCGAACAGGTCAAAGACACTATTGTCGTCTCGGCTTTCTGTAGGGACAAGAACAATTGCAGTTGCATTCATAACATTTTACTTTTTTTGTTGTTAATGCGAAAGCCGTAAGGAATGAAAAAGCTCTCAAGGTCTGCTAGGATAAAAAAATAACATAAATCACTTATCTGTAGGTTTATGTAGCGATTTAAGTATTACATATAATTATGAATAAGACCTTAAAGCTAGCTGCATACTGAAGAATTAGAAAATGTAGGGAACGGTGCACGTTTTCATTCTCACCTGCGACTCGAGCCGCTCCACAATTCCAAGCCATTAGGAGCAAAAAGAGACCCCCTATCAACTGCATTGTGCGAACCTTTATTATTTGTCTTTCTGAAAAATAAAATATAAATTTGACCTTTGATTATTAATTGAGAAAAATACCAGTGAAATACTGCACAGTGGGTATGAGAATATTTTCGAAATACGTATTGACTTAAATATATAGAAAAAGTATATGATTAATCTACCTACCTGGGAAAAAAGGAAAGTAATAACTCTTAATAATAACTCTTCAGAGGCACACAAAAAAGATAATTCCAAAAGAATGAAAGTCGCAAGAAAATCCTCAAGTTTCTCAAAAGTTCACTTTCTTCTTCACGTCTAATAAATAACAACTCCCGAAAAAGTAGCAGTGAATTCTTCTTTTTGGCTAACTTCTTTGCAATACTTAATCGGATGCTCAAACCTAACTATTAGCACTTTGGTGAAAGTCCGGTTTAAATAGTTTCATGACATTCCTAAGAATGCTGCTGCTCCAATCACAGGCAAGCAGGAAAAAGGGACGAGCTTATCCACCTACCTCACAGCAAGAAAAAAAAAAAAATGAGACGTACACATAAAAAACACACATTCCAGAACTGAAATTCCATACAAAGATACACTTTTTCATAGACGCAAACATGCCAAGCCCCCGCTTCCTTTTCAAAGTACATTCGTCAATTTCCTCACATACTTCACTGACACTTCTTTTTTAAAGATGCTTTTTGACAATATTGATTTTTAAAAAGTAATAGTACGAGTTGGTAATTAACTTTAAGGTACTGTAACAAAGATGTCTAAACTAAAGAAAACACGTTAAAGTAGAGATTAAAATAAAATGTTAGGACAAAAGCTGCAAATATTTTTTTATATAATATTATTGCTCCAAACAATAATGTTTTACAATTAATAACGGCAAGTCCAACAAATTAAAGGATGCGCATAGTTCTTGGCTCTTAAATCCTTGTTTTACATGTATTGTCCGCCAGGAGCCGTTGCGAATTCACAGGACTAAGCTTCATCTGTTCATTTTTGGTTGCTAGTTACAGAATTACAGAACCAACGTAGATCAAGCGATATGTTTTTTTTTTCTGCTTATGTATAGTAAATTAAATATGTTGTAGATTTTCTTCCCGGGATTGGCTACCATTGTTAACCTCACCTGGTTTTAAAATGTTGAAACACTTAATTTCAGATATCCTGTATCCTCAGAGTGATGCCCTTCTTACATTTTATTGTATGTAGTCAAGGATTCTCCTATTTTCTTGCTTTTCAAAACGGTGTTGTATAGAAGTTGGGTTTGAAAAAATGAAAAAATGTTCACTTGTTCAACAGAGACAAAAGGTTTAGTTTTTGCGATAATATTAACGATTCCATTGGTTTCTGCCTACAATTAAGGAACATTAAGAAAACAATATATTCTTGGTTTAGATTATGGACTAGATAAATGTGAGGGCATGTTCATAAATTGTTATTAGCAAAATAAAAATATGTATTTTATGTGTTGCTATTATGTTAATTTAGTTATTCTCAAAACCTTTGAAAAAAACAAAACAAATAACTCCTATCTAAATACCCAACAGCCAAACTTCGTTGTTTGGTAAGCTCTTCTGCATTTAATGTTATCTTACCGTACTTACAGTAAATATAGTTAATAAATATTATTAATATTTTTCACATTTTATATTTTAACTTCTTTCTCAAATTGTAAAAAGAAACCTATGCCCTTTGGATGTACTGTCAATACAAAATGGTTTTAAAAATGGTAATTTATAAATAGAAAAAGTAATGGTAAAAACAATGGAGGTATAATGATGATGTTGTTTATGTCAAGAGAAATTAAAATACAATAAACTGAAGCTATACAAAATATTACTTTTAGGTTTTTTAATTAACTTTATAGAAATCACTAATTCTTAATACCCTTGTCTGCAATTTCTGAAGAACTAATGGTATGAAGTTTTCTGCTGGTTTAAGCTTATAGCACCTGCACTTTTTAGAAAAAGGGAATGCTGTATATGCAGTAGAATTACATTGCATCTCTGCATTAGGGAATGGGTCTGGAGTCATTTCAACTAGTTAGGGATTCATTATGTTAGATTAACATTTTCATCCACTCACATTCCTTGCATTTTTATCTAAATCAACTAATAGAAGTTTCTATTACCCAATTTTGTACAATTTGGTACCCCTTAATACCGCTGGGTGTGCTGGTGCAATCTGGGTAAAGTACCTGGGTTAAGAGAGCAGCAACAGTGAAGCCATAACTACTATTCCACAGAAGTCTTTTAAAGTGAAAGCTAACAGGGTAAGCATAAATTCTGTATGCAGAATCTGTATTCAAAAACTGCACTTGCAGATAAAAATATACAGTATATTAATGTGCAATGCTGTTTTTTCTACTCGTCTTAAAAATGTATACATTTGAGCAATTTCATAAGGCTTAAGACAACAGGTTAATGTCCATTCTTTGCAGCTGTTGCTGTTCAGTAGGTGGAAAGATACCTGTTGTGTAATGCTTATCCACAAAAAGAACGGTGATGCAATTTTCTCAGCATGGAAAATATAAAATCTGATGTTCACTGTCCCTGTTGTGTTTCAAAACATACCCAGATGGCAGACACTAATGCACAGTAGTATTTCAGTGTTATTTTCTCGATTGTCCCAGATGAACTTAATTGCCTATAAACCATGGATAATGCTGTGTGTTAATGAAGCTAAAACATTACCTACAGTATATTTATTACTCCTTTATATTGTGACCATTCAGGGGCTGATGCAGGGCCTGATGCAGATGATCATGCAGAAATTATGTAACTACCAGTGTAGAATGAGTTTCAGTGCATTGGTCACTACCATTATCTTTGTGAGGTGCTCATTTTAATATTCAATGGCTCTGCTCTACTGCTACTAGTTATTACTTTTGTTGTTGTTATTATTTGGATGAATTGCAATCAGATTGTGCTCACCTTGTTTGTATGCTGAATACAGATGTTCTGGAAGTTTGTGTTCATCTAAAGATAAACATGTTTGGTGGCCAACTAGTCTTCTTGCAAACAGCCAAACTTAAGATGTAAACCAAAGTGACCTTTTTTCAGAATTTTAAATTCAAAACTAACAGGTTTCTTGAAATAGAAATGCACATTTTATTTTTTTAGAATTATTGTGATTATAAAATAACCAGATTGTATAATGAAATTGCGAGTTCATAACATTACAGTTCACAAGTAAAAACAGCTTTTAAGGAGGCTTTGATCTAGAAGCTTATCAATAAAGCAGCAGTTGATGATTAGTTCATATATTCTGTATGTATATTACCGAACTTTGTTAACCAATATATAATATCACATAAACCTACAATTAAAAAAATCATCTTCTGTAACTTAATACAACAAAACTGGTGTACTTCTGTTTTCAAGTATTCGTAAACGTTTTTAGGAAGTAAAACATTTTAATGAAAATAAGATAAACAACGCTTTAAAAAGTGATAGCTTTAGGAAAAGAGTGATGTAGATGTAAATTACAGTGTAATAAAACTACTATAGGAAATAGTGACACATCCATTTACAATATTCAACAAGGAGAAATTTTTAGGGAATAAAATGTTTCTCTGGAAGAGAGGAAAGGAATTATGTAAATATAAACATTGAAGTCAGAAGGAAAAGCCTGGTTAGAACAGAGACAGGTGTGGCAAGGTATGTATTGGGTACCGGGAAGAGCAGCAGTCACCGAATAGAAAGACAACATTCTCCTCCAGCATGGGAGGAGCAGTCACAGGGAACGTGCCAGTGCTTGACTGTCAGCAGTCTCTCCATTCATGTGGAAAGACGACTAAAATAGAATGTTTGTACTCTTGCCTGAATGCTGTGCAGTGTGATTAAAAGGTATGATTCACTTTCTGTAAATCAGCATCCCCTTTTTTTAACAATAAAATGAATATGTGGAAAGGCAGTAGTTCAAAATAACCAAAAAGAACATAAAAAGCTCTTATAAGGCCATAGTCACAGAAAAACAAGGAAATCTTGCTGTCGTTTAACAGGGCTGAAAAACAGTCAGCTGGTGTACAGGAATGTTATGTTGTAGAGGTTAATTTAAAGATTAACGACACAAAAATAGCTCTGAACGTGCCTGGAAATATCTGATTTCTGACTTAATTACTTTTATGCCTGTCAGTTTGTCCATATTTCTTTTATGGTATTACAGCTGAAAGTTAGTAAGGTTGTTTGTGATGTGTTCTGTTTAATGTGGTTACTGTCAAGCCCAGACTGGGAACGGCTTTTGCCACATTCCCACGAGTGGTCGCATAAACCTGGGCTTGTGAGGAACAGGTTGGGCTAACTATCGGTTCACCCATCTTCCTTCCAGTCATCCAGTCAACTCTGAAATTAAGCACTGCATTTAAGTCCCAAAACCATGCTGGGTCAGAGCTCTGATATTGAACTATCTGAGATAGTGCAGTCTCCTACCTGCTTTAGGAAGCTTGCTTTCATGAGACCCAAAAAGTCAGAAACACCATCCTACTTCCTGATCAACACCTGCATTCAACGCTAATGTCACGCCCTCTGCAGCCAGAGGGCGCTCCTTCTCTGTCCTGTCCCTAGTTTCCGGTCTGCTGTCCTTCCTGTCCCTCTCTTTCCCTTGGGCTATATATTTCCGGGTCTTGCACTCTGTCCTGGGTCAGCATTGAGGTTCGGATGTCCTGAGACCCGCCTAGCACCAGGGCGCCCCACGTCCGCTCCCTGAGGGCATAGGTTTCTATACGGCATTCCTGAACTCTTTGCACTAATGAGCCCGGGTCTTTTTCCCGTCTCGCCGCTACGCATGTGGGTCTTTTTCCGCTCTCCTGCTCCCCACGGTTAGTCCCTTTGGACGTCCATGACAGCTAATCCAGTGCCCTTCCTGTCAGCCTAAAAGCTCCAGGTTTTTGCTGTCAGCCTCACCCTGCCAGCCTCCTTCAGTCAGCCTCCCCACACCACACTACACTTCCCTGCCAGCCTCATCCCACCAGCCTCCTTCAGTCAGCCTCACCACACCACACCACACCACACTTCCCAGTCAGCCTCAACACACCACTCCCAGTCAGCCTCACCACACTAGGCTTCCCTGTCAGCCTCAGCTCGTCAACCTGCTTCCCCATCTGTCATACTTCACCAACCGAAGCTTCACAGAGAAACACTAGCAGTTACTGTAGATCTCAGTTAGATGACCGCAGCAGTGCACAGCAACAAGCCATGGTGTAGCAGTTACAGATTCGTTTTATTTCATACAGTATGTGTAGTATTGTGTCATTGTATTGTTGAGTGTGATATTGCTTTTTCCAATTGGTTGTAACAAACTTTGCCCAATTATTGGCATAATAAACATTCATTTGCTGTTACATGTGGATTTTGTCACCTTCAACATTGCTCTCGCTTACAGTATGTTATGAATT